AGGCTCAGTTAGCACTTGGTTTATGCGCCACATGTTTGAGGCCTTCAGTACCCTTATGGTGATCCTAGATCATCATCGAGCAAGACGATAGCTTATGGAGCAAATTTTGTCGAAGCTAAGAAGTTGTTGGATGACTTGAAGTAAAGCCTACTCAAGGTGGACTAACTTGAGCCTGTTCTACATGAAATTACCCTTCATTTAAGTTATATAGAGGAGCTCAAGCAACTGCCAAAAAAGTTGAAAGAAGTGGGGTAATTTATCTTCAGAAAAAAAATTGGGCCTATAGGAAGTTGAGCTTAACGTTAAGGGCAACAACCTCAGAGGGCAACTCGGGGAGATTAAGTGAGTGAGCTGGGGTCAAAGGTGGATGAGCTGAGATCTAACAAGAAGAGCTTGAATAGTCACTAGCAAAAATTTCGTCTAGCTAAGCCAGTCCTTCCCAATCTTAATTTTTCATTTCAATTTCTTGTAAACCTTCTCTAATAACGTAACACCCTTTGTTATAAACACAAGTTTTCCCATTTAATCTTATTTTCCTTTTGTGTTTGGAGAAGAGACAGAACCAATAGAACTAATAGACATAGGGAAACCATTAGCAATAGCAATAGTAATAGGTGTAGGTGGCAAAATACAATGACGAAGAAAGGAGACATTGGGAGTCATATGGTGAGAACACCCAAAGTCAAAGATTTATGTAGGAGAGAGAGCACTTGAGGTAAAAGAATACGGCAAACCTAACTGAGTGGTGGTCATAGAAGAGGCTTGAGAAGATTGACCCTGGTTGGCCAACATGGATGACTGAAACTGCTCGAACATGGAATGCATGGCCGGAGAAGGAGTGAAACTAGAGACAGGAACGACTAGAATTGCTAAAGAGAGATAACTATAGTGGTGGGAGGGAGGATGAGTGAGACAAATTGGCCTTTGGGTTGCAAGAGCTTAGGACATGCACACTTCAAATGTCCCTTTTGATGATAGAAATTACACTCATCCATAGCAACACGAGGTTTAGGCTTGCCAGTGACCTAAACCAACTGAGAGGTAAGAGTAAGTAATAGTGGAGGGGTAGCAAAGATAGATTGAGATGGAGAAGCAACATGAGCAACTTTGAATCTAGTTTCTTCAGCAATGAGTTCCCGAACAACACCATCCACAGACGGCAACAGGCTCCAACGAAGAATAGCCCCAAGAAGTGGCTCAAACTGATCACAAAGAGCCATAAAAAACTAGACAAGACATTGTTTCTCTCTATACTTCAAATAGCTATCAAGGGACTGCAAAGTAGAGGGTTCCATGAGAACCAATTGATCCCAGTCGGTGGTCATTTCGTTATAGAACTCCTGAATTGACTTATCACGCTATGTAGAACTGCAAATGCACATCTCAAGCTCATATTGTTTTGCAAAATTAGATTCAAGATACATACTTTTGAGATAATCCCAAACTTTTTTGTCGTAGTATACTTCAAAAAATTCATATTGATACTTAATTGAACAGACCAGTCCAAAACATGCAGCAGTAGTCCAACCCAATCAGAGAGCAAAATACTCACATAAAACAAACAATTTCAATCTTTTTGTACCTAAGACAAGCCACAAAGTAAAGAGAAAGAGGCTAACTGCTGCGCTGATGAGATGAATTGAAGAAACAGCACGAACGGAACAAAACCATGAAGAAAAGGGGTCACGAACTGCTGTCGAGGCCAGAGAGAGCACAAAGTCCTTGCAACAGGTCGTGAAAGTGATCCGCCACGAATAGGAGCACCAGAGGGAGATGCGATGTAAATGAAGCAAGGACCGCCGATGATGTGTTGCGATGAGAGAGAAAGGGTCTGCGATGGTCTGCGAAAGGAGAGAGAAAACCTATAATGACCTGCGATTGAGTAACAACAACCCTGCGGCTGTGTTGTGATGGGGTATTCTAGGTCCTAGGTAGTGGCCAAGGTTTTAAAAAGCGGCCGCAACCGTTACGTAACGCCGTTACGTAACGGTTTTGGCGGTTACCGCCACCCGTTACGGCCGCTTTTGCAGTGTGATTGAAATTCACAGGTGTGTTGGCCGTAGCGGCTACTGTAGCAGTCATAGCGGTGCCGTAACAGCCGTAACGGCCTGTTAAGCACCGTTACGTAACGGTTCCAAACTGTTTCTTTCGAAAAAACACAAAAAAAGGCTGAAAATAGGAGAAGAGGGATAGAGAGAAGAGGGAAGATAAAGAGAGAAAATGGAGGAGCAAGAGATAGAGAGAGAGAAGAGGGAAGATAAAGAGAGAAAATGGAAGAGCAAGAGATAGAGAGAGAGAAGAGAGAAGATGAAGAACATGTTATTGATTTGTGTGTGTCTATCTATATATTGTTTGAAAATAATAATAATAATAATAAGTGTGGTCATTATTTATTTGGCTTTGTTAAAATATGTATATATATATATATATTTAGGCTCTTATTTATTCTCTTACTTTTGTCATTGTTTATCTTATATATAATAGTTAGTGATTGATTTTTTGTATAATATAAAATCATTAATTATTAAAATAAAATGTAAAAAACTCAGTTTATAGTGATTTAAAAATATGAAATATATTGTATCATACTTAAAAAATTACAAAAATTGATCAATATTTATTTTTAACCCAATAAATATGATCATGGAAAAAAAATATGCGTATCTATAAGTTTTTTTCAAATTGTGCAAAAAATAAAAAAATTCATGGTTCCGGTTACCGCAACCGTAACCGTTACACTACGGCCTTTACACCCCGCAACCGCAACCGCGTCACCGCCACCGTTACGGCGACCGCAACCGCTTTTCAAAACCTTGGTAGTGGCTCTAATACCATGTAAATGGAGGTAACCAAGAGAACGTTGTGTATCTCTATATTGAATTGATAATTCATAAAGACCTAACACAAGATTAAATAGGCAAAGCATAGAAACCCTAAAGTGCTAATTGCATGTGTTATGACTAAACTAACCTTATAGACTAATTAAGCTATTACATAATATCTCACATTGGCATCCCAAAAGGAGGGAGAGAAAGGAGACAAGAAGTTGTCTGCTACGTATTATAAACCATAAAAGATTCTACAGAGGATAGGAGCAATAGCTTATAAATTAGATTTTGTAGTAAGTTCACAAATCCACCCAGTGTTCCATGTATTAATGTTATTGTCCAACCTCAGTGCCTTTGGTGAGTATGAAAGAAGAAAAGAATTTTCCAATACCGCAAGCTATTCTTCATCGCCGAATATGGAAGGGTACGCATGACGTTTGATTCATTGGAAGGGCTTGTCTCATGCAGATGCAAGATTGGAAGATCAAAAGATAAATAAGGAACGGTTTCCAGGCATCACCCTTGCAGAGGAGTTGATTCATTCTCTTGTTATTAGGAGATCTGGATAATTTCTATTTAGATATGCTGATTCTTTTCCTAATTTTTAGTTATTTACGTGGGCTGTCTTATCTCCTTATTGTAGATGATTTAAGTTAGGTCAAACTATCTGTTAGGAATTTTCCTATTTTGTTGGGACTTACTGTTGTATTAATGCCTATATAATAGGCAAGTAAATAATGAGATGGTATGCTAAGTAATTTCCTAGCACCTTGGTGTGTTTTCATTGGAGGTTTCATTTCCCAAGTAATTAAACTAACCATTCAACCTGTCTTTCGTTTTTCTTATCCTGTTTTCTTTCACAACTCTTAAAGACAAGTAAAAGGCAGGACTTCAACCAGCTAACTTGTACCGGTGTAGAAATTTAAGGCTACAATCCATATGAAATGTCATATAACAAATACAAGGACTTGTACAAACTTAACTTGAGGGGTGGAAACTTGGATCATACTAGATGTATTGAATCAAAAGAGGAAGAGTTACCGTATGTTAATATGCTCTCACCCCCCAAGGGAGAAATGCAACTTTCAAATCCCCATTAGGACCCAAATACTTGCACCATAATTATTAAAAGAGGAATGCTATTTTTATCACGCATTTACTTCACCTCCTACGCGTATTTATACAATTAATGGCATGTGTATATGTGGGGTCCATTGCATTAATAAATGGTGAAACCCATCATGCCACATAAGAAGGCACGTAGAAAGTGAGAGTTTTGGTGAAATATGTAGGTGATACATAGCAAACCTCTTGTAAAAATATAAACGAGTAAAATTAAGTATGAGGGAAATTTTGACTTTTATACAAAACTCTTTCAATTAACACCATAGGATACTATACTTCAGGAGGATTTATAAGAATTAAAAAGGCTATGGCAACAAAAGATGAGGTCAACATCTATCATAGAGAGGTAGCTAATGTGAAGAAAGTGTACATCCAACAAGATTTCTAATTACAATAATCTTGTATCAAGAGTCAACAATTGGCATTGTCATGTTAAAGCCTAGGTATGAGAACACTAGCCATAAAATTTCCATCCTTGTTTAAAAGCCATTCATGGACATCTACATGGATTTCCTTTTCAAATATAAAATCAAATGAATAAAGCAACATCAAAACAATAATAATACAATAAATTGCCAGAAAGAACAACCCACCCAGAGAGAGAGAGAGGGAGAGAGAGCCCCAAGGGGTTTGGCTTAGTGAAAGAAGAAAGCAACCAAAGGGTTTACCACCCGAAAGGTCGCAAGTCGAATCCCACGAAGGCCAAACATCCCATACCGGGGCTAGTGAAGGTTTGCCCGGTCATTAACTTCAAGGCCCCAGGATTGGTCGAGGTGTGCGTAAGCTAGCCTAGACACCCGGTTATCAAAGAGAGAGAGAGAGAGAGAGAGAGAGAGAGAGAGATTGGAATCTCATAATATCAATTTAAACACCTAACAGTCCATAATAAGGTTTCTTTCTTTTCTCAATCTAATTAATGACCTAACAATAATGGAGCATAAACTTTTATGTTGCGATTAACAATAATAACATAAAGCAAACAATTCCCATGGAGTCAATATGTAAAAGAAATTCAAATGTGTGAACGCAAATACAAAAAGAAAATAATTAAAAGACAATAAAATACTTAACAAACAAGCATTAATCCGAAGTACTTAAGGTTTCCTACATGGGCCTTTTGGAAAAATGTAAAATCATGTAAAATTGAAGCCACCAAGTGGGTGAGCCAAAAACAAGAAAAATACGAAATAAACAAGTCTGAGCAAAAAATGCGGATAGATATAAACCATGAAAAAGCCCAGTGAGCCATTCTAGTTAGTGCAAATTCACATACTCTATCATTATAGGGAAAATATATTTTTATCAAAATAACATGCCACTGAAAGTATTATGCGACTACAAAGGCAAAAGGTATTAGCTCTGACCTCTACAAGTTGGGTGAGCTTTTGTTTTGAAGATGAGAGATAATTGTCAATTTTCTCTTGTGAATCCGGAATATAAGCCCCTTGGATGCTTCCAATAACTTTATCAACCACTTTCTTCAATATAGTCTTGTGAGACTCTTTGCTGATTTGACCTTCCTTCCACTTTGGTTTCAGCATCTCCTTAACAAACTCCACGAGCGCAAATTTAAATACCCAGATGCCCTTTGAATCATTATTTTTCTTGACCTCATCAGCCCTACCATCTTTATTCATCTTCTCCAACGGTCCATTTCCCTGTGCTTTCTTGCTTTCCTCAGCTGTCGTTTCATTGTTTCCTTCACCATCACAATTAGCGACTGGATTTAGCTGATCCAATTGGTGACACTCTCGATCTAATTCAACCTCCGATTTACCAACCTTATATTGATCACCACCACTTGGTCCGCCAGTAAGAGAACTGAATAAGTCTCTTGAAGGTACTTCTTGTTTCTCACCCACAATTCCTTCAACAGGATTTGGTAACAATCCTGCAAGTGGATTATCGGGATGGTTTTTAATCAACACAATGTTATCACTAAGAGGATTATACTGTGTCACAGATCTAATGACTAGATTTGGATTGCTGGATGCTGCAGCAATCGGACGAACAGGTCCTGCAGAATTGGAAAGGAATGAAGACACAAATCCCATTAATTTTGTGGGATTGGGAACAGCACCTAGATGAGAACGTTGCTTCATGTCTCCATATAACTGAGCCAAAGCTGAAAAATTGATAAATTGTGAAGGCTGCTGCCTGTTTACTATGTTTTGTGCTGGAGGGATTTCAGAACTAAGTTCAGGTCGGTTTCCCTCTCCAGCATTAGGTTTGCTAAGTGATTTGTCCTCCTGGAACAGTGGTTGAGTTTGCACATTGGTAATACTTTCTCCTCTTGGAGCATGCAGAGAGAAAGTCTGTTGATTCTGTCCAACTGCACTAAACCTTGAGAGAGGGTCAATAACTGCACTAGAACTACGGTCATTCTGATCCACACTTTGTCCTGGCAGAACATCTGCAGAAAATTTTTGATCAATGCTTGACATGGCACAATCACTAGTTTCTTTTCTAAGCTCAAGAGAAAACGCATAACCAGCATCCTCCTCCCTTGAACTGGGCTTTGAATAGAAACAAACATTTTCAGATATCAGCGGTAGCATAGCTGCAGGATCTTGATGCTTCTGACCTAACATCTCCCCAGTCATATCCTGTTCATATGAGCGTGAAGATGTTTCCTTAAGAGATAGACAATGTGAGGTCTGGCTAATGTGACAACTCTCTTCTTTCACAACATGGCCAGAAGATTGCCCATAATTCCATGGGGAAGAAAGCTCCATATCACTATACCAATTTTCAGCTCCATTTGATTCAAAGCCACTCGTTCCAGCAGCAGCAGTTTCTGCCTTTGGCTGGAGATACTCCCTATCATTGCCATCTACTGCTTTACCATTGTTTATTGGGTGACCATATGATCTGTTCTCAATGTTAAAACTACGTACCCATCTATCATCCCTAGAATATGCAGGAAATCCTTGTTCATGAGCACCAACATTTCCATTTCTATCCTCATTCCACTTGAGCAACTTTGCATTATCCGGCACAGTCGTGTCGCGCCACCTTAGATGTTCATCTGGTTGTTCCACTGTATCTAAATTCTTGCTCCTCCTCCTCCAATCATCCCTTGACCTGTCATAGGGATTGACAGTCTGGCCATGATGAGAAAATCTGCAAAACGTCCCTTTATGGCAATTTCCTGCAGTAAAAAATTTGCAAGGGATATCACTACTCCTATGGGGTTCATGCTCCCTACCATGCCCACTCCTGTCATTTTCCTTTCCTCTAAACACATCCTTCAGAGACCCTGTATCAGAAGCAACACTATTATGCGCATATTTGGAATATGCCCCCGTACGGCATCTACCCTTGATAAAATCACTACAAAGATTATTAGATCTTCCCACACTCTGTAAGTACTCCCTGCCATCATTAGAAGTGGAATATTTAGAAGCTCCACTCCTCCAGTGGCTACTTTCCCAGTTCTTTGCTAGACCACCTTCAGGACATCTATCTTCATGATCTCTGCGATCCTGGTGAAGATACGGACAACGATCACCTCTCCTGCATCTACCAGCAACAAAATCTCTACAAGTCCGGGCTGCAGTACTTCCATCCAATCCTAATTCTCTCTTAAAACCATGTGGAGGACTCCTGCTCCGGCTCCTGCAAATTATAACCAGAAACCACTCTTCAATCATCAGAAGACAAAAGAGATGGAATTTTGCTGCCAAGGTAATACAGAATTTGCAAACTACTCATGAATAAGTTGGGAAAATCAAGGATAAATTTCACCTGGGAAGCAGTATACATCAGTGTCAGGAGAAGAAAAAAGGAAACATTATCATTCTAATTAATTCCGACATGAGGAACATTAGTTAATATCCCAATGGATTATGTCTTATTAGATAAAGCTACTCTATTTGATTTATTAGCAAATAGTTCTTCAGTTCAGACTTACAGTACCATAAAGATTAATCGCATGAGCCACACAAACAAGTCAAGCACAAGTGAGGTCATCACCATAGTTTGAAGAGTTATACAGCATGGGTATGGGAAGTAGTAGTGAATCATACCTGTCTGATCTGCCCCGACCATTTCTAGGGAAGTGACTGTATTTTTGTTGCCTCCAGTGATCAAGACCAGGAGACATTTTTGTCATGTAACATCCTTCTCCATACCACTCCAATATTTCATCTTCGTTATTGCATTCAACACGGTACAATTCTGGATTGGTACTACCAGCAAGCTCTGGGCAATCCCTCCCAGATTGTGATTCTTTATTATGAACAGACTCCCCTACATTCTGAAGCCAAATACCATATTCTGTATCTCCTGGGAAAAGTCGAGGCTGATCCCACTTTGAAACACATGTTCTGCCACTCCTGCTCATCCTTCTTCCACACTGAGCAGCACGCCTTCCCCCAAGTCAAATGTAGTATAATCTGGAGAAAAAAAGGAAAAACTTAAAAAAAATATATGTATATATATAAAAAATAAAAAAAATTCTCATTCGAATTAGATCACTTTCTACCTTTCTACTCTCTTCTTTGTTTAAAATCTGCAGTTATGTCCAAATGTATCAAAAATATTTAGCAAAATTCACATCCATGATAATATTTGAATCTCCAAAGTCGAGATAAGGCCTACAACTGTTAGCAGGCAATTACGTTATTGCAAAACCCAAGGTAAAAGTTTGGGATGCCAAGTGTTAGAAGGCATGTCAGTCTATGCCCTTGGGGCAGCCACTTAACACAAATTATAAAATAGGTCCGGTTTGAGTATGGCATTCAGACTAAGGCCTCGTTTGGGAACAGGCTAATTTAGTAACTTTTTGGCTATTTGGCTAAAAAGGTAGGTAAAAAAAACTTGTATGTTTGGGATGACTTTTTGGCTAATTACGAAAAGATGTGCAAAAAGTAGAGAGAAAAGAGAATCTTTGACTTTTTGGTAAGAGTTATTGGTTTTTTGGCTAATTTAGTAACTTTTTGGCTAATTGGCTAAAATAGCCTCTTGCCAAACGAGGCCTAAGTAGCCTAATTTGAATTGGTCAAAAAAACAACCAAAAGACAAAAAAATTGGAATAATCAGCCAAAGTAGGGTAATTTCTGGTTTTTGGAATTTGGCTTTCTAATTATTTTAAGAAATATTTTATTTTCTATAAGCAAAGTATTATTCACAAAATGCCAAAAGAGATTAATCTTTGTACATGAAGTACACATGATATAATAAAGCCTTAACCCAAAATAAAGCTCCTCAATAAAATCCATACAAGTAAAAGACAATTCACAAAAGTTTTTCTAAACTAAAAATGAAAGCATTTAGTAAAGTTACTCTTAAGCATATGTACATTAATCTCCACTTGTTCAAAAGTGAGATGATTCCTCTCCCTCTACGTACACCACATCAAGCATAGAGAAGTCGCCATCTATACCTTCTTAAACCTCTTCTTTTCACATCCTCCTGACCAACTCTCATAAAAATGGAGCAAAGCTTATGGATTCACCTATTGTACACCAAAAATAGACAAGATCAAACTCCATAATTCATTCGCAACATCACAATCAACGACGAGATGGTTACTTGTCTCCCCTGCTCTCGACACAAACAACACCAATTTAGAAATTAATTAAACTAATGACAATTAGAGACTAACCTTGATTAATTAGAGCTAAACTCAATTAATTGAACTAATGAAGAAGATCAGGGAAGCTAGTAGGTGAAGCTAGGAGATGAAGCAAGAACCTCCCAGTGGATGATGACAAGCCTTGGAGAGACAAGCGTCTCTCCACCAAATAAAAACAAGAAAATAAGGGAAAAAGAAAGAGAAAATCTGCTGGAGTTCTTGAGAGAAAGAAGAGAGGAGAAAGAAGGAAGACAGAAAGAAAGAGAGAATAAGGAGGAAGAAGAAGAAATAAGATAGAAGCTTCAAATCTTGTCCTAAATTCAAGTAAAAACCATCTAAAGGTAAGGATCTCACCCTTATTTCATGAGAATACTTTCATATGTAGAGAACTTCTTGTTAAACCTAGATTTGGATAGGATTGAATTAGAAGAGATTGAAGGAAAATGGAAAAGAAGACGGGATAAAGAAATAACGAATGAAAACCAACCCTTTAAAAGGTTGAGTCCAAAACTTTTGTGTACAAAACTTGTATCATGTTTTCCATATCATTTTTGTACAAGTAGAGCCTTGAGTTAAAGAAAATAGGTGAAAAACAAGTTTGGAACTCGAAAACAGCCCTAGCCAAATTAGCTTGCACGAATGCTCACGTGCGGCATAGACCCCCGCATGTGCAGCCCACCATCCCACACGTGTGGCCAGCTCTTGAGAAGGCTGCATGGATCCACACATGCGGCCCACAGGGCAATTGCCCAATCTTGCTTCTTTTTGACACATTGATGCATCGAGCCTCGTTTCGCACACCCAAGAATGGAATAAACCAAAAATGACTTGAAAACCGACTTAAAAGTATATAGTTTAAGACAAGAAGTTGTATCTAAGCTAGTACACTTGAATTAGACCCGAAAAGAGTAGTAATACATTGCCTTGAGTTGCATTTCACTGATGGTTGCATTTTTACTTGTGCAGGCTAGAATTTTGCGAACTATCCCATTCTTAAGAGCCATTGTGAGTAATATTATTGTAAAGTTATGTTTAAAAACTTGTTTGAAACGCAATTATATATCATGCATTAAAATACTCGTCATTATGTCAACATGAATGAGTATCCTATACTCTTGTATCAATGTATTAGATGGCATCCTTGGAATGGTGATGAAGAAGAGAAAGATTGAGGAAGAGAGAGATTTTGTATGAAGTTTTGCAATTGTATAATAGCTAATAGTGTCTCATGTATCACTTTGTGCTTTTGTAATGTAATCTAAGTCAAGTTTTAATAGATAGAATAAGCCTTGTACATATTAGCTTGTGATGTTTGTACTCATTTTGTAAACTATCTACACAATGTAAATCTCAAGAAGTAATGAAAGTTTTTGTATTTCATTTCATATCTACTTATGCGCTCTAAATGAACTCAACTAACTAATGAATGTAAAGCTTCAACTTAACAAGCCCCAATTCTTGTTTTGTCTAGTTAGGCCTTTGGTAGTCAAGGACTACTAGCTGGTCACCGCATTATCCTATTTGGGACGGGATGGGATGGTGATAGTTGGACAACTCCTTACCCTTCAAGTTTCATGTTTTCTTTTTATTAATTAAATCCCCCATTTCATGCTTTGTTCATTTTCTAAAAAATTACAATATTTCATAGTGCTATAAAATCATAACATTATTGTTGATATATGGACTTCCATTAAGTGAAGTAGGTAACTACAATTAGGATGACATAAAAATAAGTAAATAAAAGTAACAAGGCATGCAACAGATTCAGGTTTTTTTCCCTAAAAGAATTAATTTTGGCCATTATCTAACAAACGATTTTATTGTTGGGAGAACTAGGCAAAAGAAAATGAATTTAAATGGTTAATCAAAAAGGACTTTGTCACATGGAGCTGTAACAATTAAATAATGTACCCATTGAGCATAAAACAATAAATACTCCTAGAGAAGCATTAGGCATTGCCTACATGGTTACTCCCAACAAACAAAAAATCACAACACATACCAAGTATGTCATCTTTTATCTCGTAACTACCTTTATTATCAACTACCTAATAAAGGTAAGCCACCATGTCTTGCTAATAAAATTTACCGCTACGTGATTGGTTTGGAGCACCATGTAAACAATGCCACTTGGTGCTCCAGAACTATTAAATAATTACCCCATTAAGCACTATACAACCTACAAGACTTCTTTAATGCAATTATCCATCTATACCAAAAACATAAATAATAAAACAAACAAAGTAATGAATATCATCTCCACATAAGGCATACTATCTCATTATCAAGTGATCCATAATTTACTAACCAGATGAATTAAAGTTAAAATGAAGGGTCATGCCATGGTACGGGTGTGTATCATATGCAACCTTGTTATGCATTTTGTGGTACATGTGACGTATTTTTGTGGTATATATTTACGTATTTTCTGGGTAGAGCTATAACAATTTGTGGTACAAAAATGAAGTTAATGTCATAAATTTTTGTGGTAATATTCCACATTTGTTTATCCAAACATTTTCTAGCCACAAATGTGTAGCATTGCCACAAAAAGGCATAACATTGCTATAAAAATGCATAATTGCATTTTGAACCACAAATTATCATAACTCTACCAGAAAATTATATAATATTTACTACAATAATGCATAACATACACCACAAAAATACATAACACGGTGCATATGGTACACACCATAGAATTTATGGTACACACCATAGAATTTCCCTAAAATGAAATAAGGTCATATAAATTTATCTCTCTAGTTATATAAAAAAAAATGCCCAAGTAATGTGAACTATAACAACACTACAACACAATAAAATGGAAAGAAAGTTAACTAGGGAAACTCACAGCACCGAACACCCTATCTCTCCCACTCAGCAATAAATCTCTCTCGTTATAAATGAATCCATTCATGATTGTCTTATTGAAGTCATTTCAAGTTTGTAAACCATATATAGACACAATAATTGATACAATCTATAGACACACACACACACACACACATATATATATATATACCAAAATCATATGTATATGTGCCAAGAAAAGGGGTTTGGGTTGATTCCTTCACCCTACCTATGGATATGCAGGGAACCGTCAAAAGCCCAAAAGGTCACCGGAGAGCTTCTCTCACTACAGCTATTGACCTATTTTCTCATGCACTGCCACTGCTCTTCATTTCCCATGGCTGCGCCTCCATGATCGCTGCTGGTGGCTCCACCGTCAAAGTCAAAAACCAGTTCTCTCTCTCTCTCTCTCTCTCTCTCTCTCTCAAGCTCACAAAACCACCGCCCCCAATCTCCCTCAATCTCTCTGCAATTTCTCAACATAAGAGGATACATAAAATAACCCTAGCCACTATTTAAGTGCAAAGGTTACCATCAGAATTACTAAAATGCCCTTATGATTTTCTCTTATTTACACAAGGATCAATGTGACCATAAAACCCACTAAACTAGCTAACATATACTATCACACCATTAAGTCAAATTTGAGCCGGCCAGTTTAAATGTTGCAAATATACCATGCCAAATACGTGCAAAAGAGAATTTCAATTCTTTTCCAAAAGCATACCGGCAAAATGTGCACATTTATGACCATTTAACAAAGTAATCATTGTTAACACGAAATACTGGTTAAAATTATTAAATTTATTATTTACAAAACTATGGGATATTACATTGCCCGACCACCTATGAAGCACGGGTGCGGTACGGATACTAGTACGGATACGTTACGGGTATGCCGATAAGGCAAGACCTAAAAAAATAGGATACGGGTATGCCTGGGGTACCTTAATACATGTTTTATTTTTTATAATTTATAGGTTAAGATTCAACCTACAAATCAAAGTTTCAATACCAATGCTAAAAGGAGATATTACAAAACCAAAAAAGAAATCCTAATTCAACAATACCAATTCCAAAGCGAAATCAATAAGCTATTTTAATGCATTAAATAGGAAAAATTACAAAACAAAATTTCATTGCAAAATTTGGAAACTTGAAACTTTAATTTAACTTCCATCAACTTCATCATCAAATAATACATCTCATTTCTAGCACATCAAGTAAAGGATTTACAATTTCAAGTAAATCAAAACTCTCTGCTAATTAAACGTATCCCCACCAATGTGTCATAGCTTGGTGTATCCCCAATGTACCCATCATGTACCCACGAAGTACCAACAATGTACCCAAGTGCCAAAGAATGTATAAAATGTACTCAATATGTATTTCGAGTACCCGGTATGTATGCAGTAATCCTATTGATATGCGTACCAGTACCCAGTAAGTATCCAATACGAGCACAGCAACATTTTCAAAGAACCCGTGCTTTATAGCCAACCACAAAGTCAACAATATCTACTATAGGGTTATATGGCAGTCACGGGCACCCTAGCCACTCCAAATTAGTTATAACTAAATCATATGCAAAATCCAAACATATTTTGTGGTACCAAAAATACAATGTTTTGTGCAACCCTTCAAAAATTGAGTTCCCATGCGTAAACAGAAATACTGAGAAAAATTAAGTTAGTTTTGAATCTACAAGACCTATTTGATTTGGCTAATTATAGTGCGTAGGATTGGGATTATCACATCCCAATGTTTGATTGCAATTTTTGTTATTTGGATTAGATTCCAACGAACATTTTATCTAACAAAATTGGTCCATTTTTTAATCCTACGACTAATAATGCAAAACAAACATATAATTGGGATTTTATGTTTCCATATCCATCGCAAAACAAATGTGCATAAGAGGGGATTATTTATTCGACTAATCCAATTGGATAACCAATACTACACTGTCCCCTCACTATTAATCCTGCTAATCAAACTGTGCCACAAAGTATTACTTAGCACTATGAAAATTTCACAAGATATTGTTCATGATGGAAGAATTAGGGCTTTCTTCAGACACTAGTTCAAAGTCAAAGCATATATTGAATAAAATAAATCATCCAATTACAATCAATCAAACAAAAAGAAAAAAAAGCCTTAATTTAAAAGTTCAAAAACATCACCACTCCTTAATTGAGCAAAAGCCAATGAAAATAAATGAAATTAAACCCTTGTTGTTTGCATGTATGTGAGTGTATGCAACAGAATAATCACATAGAATCGAAAAGAAACAATTTAGGGTGCGAAGTTACATGCAATCAAAGAAAAACTGCCATGGAGATCCTGAGAGAGAAAACCCTAGATTGTTTTGCCCTGAACATTCAAACAAGTGAAAAGAGTCCGCCATTTTGAGTGTGAAGCCTGAAATTCTCTCAACTTTGGGGTTTAATTGTGATGCCCAAAAATACATGAAAATTAATTTAAACCATTGGATTGTTTGGATGAATATTCGCCATTGACCATAAAGTCCGGCATCCTGTAATAACTAGTGAAAAACCTAGAGAACAATACAAAGAAAGCCCTATTTTCATTTTCATGGCAAAACTAGCCTTGTTTTCGCAGAAGTGACGCAGACTTTGAATTTATCATAATCATAAAAAAGAGAAAAACATAAAAAAGTATCCCCTATTTATTTTCAAAGCATAGATACAAGCTTTGAATCTATCAAAACAAACATCTATATGAGGCCTTGCATAGATTGGTTATGCAAAGCTTTCTCACCCCACTACGCAAACAGAGTGCAATTGTTAAGTGTCAGAGTTCTTCAACGATGAACATGATAAGAACTTAAAAAAGAATTGTCTCATTTCCAATAGATTTCATGTTTAATTTGAAATAATTAAAAAAAATCCAAGCAAAAAAAAAAAAAAACATTATAACATTTGCCTAGATGATTTGCAGAATAGACCAATGAGTAGTAAAATAAGGCCTTAAATTGGAATAGTAGTGGGTGCAATCCTCCCTTTACACTAAACCAAACCAAACCAAACTAAGCCTTAAGTCCCATCAAATGGGGTTGGCTACATAAATCTTTCTTCGCCATTTAACTCTATCCAAGGCTATATTGTTAGTCAAATTAAGGAGAGTCATATCTCTATTTACTACACTAACTAATGTCAATCTAGGTCTGCCCTTCCCTTAACACTTCCATCTACCGTCAATATATTGCATCTCTTCACTACTACCCCTATTGGCCTTCGTTGTATATGACCAAACCATCTCAATCTATTCTTCTTCAACTTATATTCTATCGATACTATCCATTCTCGGATATACTCATTCCTAAGTCTGTCTTTTCTAATCTTGTCACACATCCACCTAAGCATCCTCATCTCAGCAGCACTCATCTTATCTACATGTTGTTTTTTAATTGCCCAACATTCCATCCTATACAATATTGCTGGTCTAATAGTCGTTCTATAAAATTTTCCTTTAGTCTAGTGGGTACCTATTTATCGCACAGTACCGCAGACGCACTCCTCCACTTAAGCCACCCCGCCTTAATTCTATGGACCACATCCGCTCCAATCTCCCCAACCGTTGTGATAGTCAATCGTAAATAACGAAAATGTTCACTCTTAAGTAGTGCTTGGTCCTCAATCTTCACTTCTCCTCTACTTCCATTGTTACTGTTACTAAAATAACACTCCATGTACTCTGTCTTAGTTCCGCTTATCCTAATTTCTTTATATTCAAGTGCTTCTCTCCAAGTCTCCAACTTAGTATTAACTCATTCTCTAGTATCATCCACTAACACGATATCATCAACAAAAAGCATACATCATGGCACATCATCCTGAATATTTCTCATCAATTCATCTATAACTAAAGCAAAAAGGTAAGGACTGAAGGTTGATCCTTGATGCAACCCTCCAGTAATTGAAAATTCACTTGTCTCTCCAACCGGTGATCTAATAATGGTCACCACACCTTCATACATATCTCTAATCACATCAATGTAACCTCTTGTCACCCATTTCTTCTCTAACACCCACCAGATTATATCCCGAGGCACTTTATCATATGTTTTCTCAAGATCAATAAAAATCATATGAATGTCTCTTTTCTTTTCTCTATACTTTTTTATTACTCTCCTCAAAAGATAGATCGCTTCCATTATTGGCCTACAAGGCATAAACCCAAATTGATTCTCTAACACCTTTGTTATATCTTGCAAGTGATGTTCCATTACTCTCTCTATATGACACATTAGCTTAATTTCTCTATAGTTGTTACAGTTCTAGCCATCTCCTTTATTCTTATAGATTGGCACTAAGATACTCTTCCTCCACTACTCTGACATTTTCCTAGTCAACCAAGCCACCCCCTTGGTTCCAAAAAATAAAAAATAAATAAAAATAAAAATAAAAAAACCAAGCCACCCCCTTCTTATCCAAACATGTCCAAGCTTCAAAAGGGATATCATCGGGTCTTAAAACCTTATTCAATTTCATCTTCTTAAGTGCAATCTCCACTTCATAGTTCTTAATCCTACAATAGAACCTGTAGTCCTAGTTTTTCTTATTACTGCTTACTTCCTTTCCTTTTGACCTACCTCCATGTTCCTCATTTAACAATTTCTCAAAATAGTTCTTCTACCTCTCCTTAATCTCTTCATCCTTCACCATCACCTTGAAGTCCTCACTCTTGATACACTTAGCCTAATTAAAGTCTCGTTTTTTCATCTCTCTTATCTTGCAAGTTTATATATCATCTTCTTTCCTCACTTACTATCTAATCTAGTTTATAAGTCATCATAGACTTTCAACTTAGTCTCTCTCATTACCTTTTTGACATCCTTATTAGTCAATCTGTAGCTCTTAAGGTTTCTCTCAATTCTATCATTCTGCCACTTTTTAAAGTACATTTTTTTCATCTTTACTACCGCTTGAACCTCTTCCTTCCACCACCAAGTTTCCCTAGAGTTGGGTCCTTTTCCTTTCGACTCTCCAAGAACTTCTCTTAAGATTCTCTTCATACAATTGGCCATCAAGTTCCACATAGTGTTTGCATCATCTTCTAAGTCCCAAATACCTTCTTTATCCATTCTATTATTAAATATTTCTAATTTATCTCCTTTTAGGTCCCACCATCTCGTCCTACGACGCCAACTATCCTTTCTAACTTGGTATCGCCCTTTTAAGGTATAAATCTAGTACCAAAATCCTATGTTGAGACATCAGACTCTCTCCAGGAATCACCTTACAATCACTGCATTTTAGATGGTGTTCTTTTCTTACTAGAAAGTAATCTATTTGGCTTCTAATTGACCTACTCTTAAAGGTTATCAAATGCTCCTCTGTCTTCTTATACATAGTATTGGCCACCATCAAGTCAAAAGCTAACGCAAAATCTAAAATACTCTCTTTTGTCTCATTTCTATCACCAAAATCATACCCACCATGCACCCTCTCATATCTTAGTTTATCTATTCCTACATGGCCGTTGAAATCACCACCTATAACTAGGTTCTCTGCTACAGGTATCTCTTGTAATACCTCATCTATTTGGTCCCAAAAATCTCTTTTAGTCTGATCACCTAATCCTACTTTGGAGACGTATGCGCTAATAACATTCACTATATTCTTTCCAATAATTAGTTTAACTAATATAATCCTTTCACCTTTCCTAATGACCGCAACTACATTTTCTACAAAACTCTTGGCAACTATTATTCATATCTCATTCCTGTGTCTATCCTTGCAACTATAATATAGTTTAAAACCAGTATCCTCTATTTCTCTACCTTTCTCACTTGTCCACTTAGTTTTTTGTATGCAAGCTATACTAACTCTCCTCCTTTAACACTTATACATTTAAATTTTTTGGGCTAATTACATGGACCTATGAGGTTTTTGACAAATACCGTAACCTCCCTTATGGTTTTTGAAATTACACTAACCTCCCTTGTCAGAGTTGATGGGTGACAGAACACTTATTATTATTATTTTCAAACAATATTATATAGATAGACACACACAAACAAAATGGCTTAGTGATAGCAGCTGAATAGAATAGC